TGGTCTGTTCAAGAGCTTTTGAAGTGGTCAGCCCATTGTTCTTTTTGTTTCTCTTCTTCCGTGATTAAATTTCCGTCATCATGTTTTATTGGTTTCATCTGTTTTGATCTCTTCCCAGATAGCAACCTGGTTATTTGATGCAATGTTGTCAGGTCTCTCCCACCGAATATCCTTGTGTTTGTACACACTGTCTCCAATCACCAAATCGTTGAATGTGCAGAATTCTGCAAACAATTCTCCATTCTCATTCATTTCACCGAGTGCTTGTCGACCCATGGTTAGTTCTCTTCCTGTGTTATCCTCTCCGAGTTTGGCATTCATGTCGCCCATTAGAATTTTGACGTCGCCATCTGGGGTGGGGGCTTGTCCAGTGCTGATTGCAGTTGTCTGTAAAATTCCTCCTCCTTCTCTTGATCTGCATTGTTTGTAGGTGCATAGCGTAGAATTGTATGATTGTGACTCTCCTTCCTTTTGAGTTGAATCTCGCCGTCATGATCCTGGTGCTGCATCATCATCATCATCATCATCATTATCAACATAGGACCAGGCATTACTGCGTAACGGTCCGAGTTGCCACAACTCATATCAGCACATCAAGTAAAAGGTAGTGAGGTGAAGGATGAAGATAAGTGAATGCAGTCAAAGGAAATATAAAGTACGAGAAGAAAGGAAAGAGGAGTGACAAAATAGTGAGATTCGGTATAGCGTTGTTAAGATGAGGATAATGTGTGTATACATCTGCGCCACTGACTTCGGTTTTGAGCCATATCACCTAGGGTCTCCAACCACTGGTTTCTCTTGTCCCGTGGACCCCAACCACTTAGTCTGCATCGTCCTACATGGCTTAAACCAACAGTCAGAGACTTCATACATTGGTGCCATGTTTTAGTCTGGCCACCTCGGGCCTTTTTCCAGCCTGAACCCACCTCAGCCAACATTGTGTGACGAGGCAATCGGTGACTAGGCATACGTAGTACGTGTCCCAACCATCTCAGACGATGAAGGTTCACAACCTCGTCGACTGACTTACCTCTTCTCCCTAAAACTCTACACCTAACTTCTGCATTACTCACATGGTGACACCACGGAATACGTCCTATACTACGAAGGCAACGGTGGTCAAATACCTGTAACCTTCTCATGTCTTCCACTTTCAATGGCCATGTTTCACAGCCATACAGTAGAACAGACCGGACTGCTGTGCAGTACACGCGACCCTTAATAGACAAACGAATATCACGGCGGCGCCATAGGTGGCGCAGGAGGAGATTGGCTCCCACTGCATGGGAGAGAGTCCTCAATGTTTGTGGAGACATCATGGTAGCCACTCGAAAACTCAGTGTGCTCGTGGTTGTCGTTTGGGTGACAATATCGAAGTAGATTATTGACTCTTCAGTTGACAGTTTGGAGAGTCCACTTCCATTCCATCTACTTTTGCACTTCCATGCCATACCTTCTCATCTCTTTCGCAATCTGGGGAGCCTTGCTAGCTAGGTTTAAACATTGTTCGGACATTCCATGTCCCCACGTCTACTTTCGCTTTCATCGAGGGAGTGAAGACACATCAGCCAATTGGTTTCCCGAAGGTTTTCACTAGCCGGCATCATTTCGTCTCTCCGATTGCAGTATGGAATAAGTTTATTCTTATTTTTTGTATTTTCTTTGCGCTTGAAAGTTTCTTCAGCGATTGGATTAGTTTTACTGGGTAGAGTTGTTAGCCCAACCTACCCTCTTTACCCAGGCTTAGGACCGGCTAGTAACTGGTGAACTAGTTAGCCAGGCGAGGTTACATTTACATAATGCTTTTTAATTAGCATCATCAATATCAGCATACTTGTAGGTTGTTTCACCAAGTCATGCTATTAATTATAGTGTGATTGTATAGAAATGTGGGTTGATGTGATTTCTATCCTACGATTGGTCAGAAATACCTGTCTGTATTTGTCAACATTGGATATTTAAGACATTTCTGAATCACATGATAATCGTGTATATTACTGTCTAATAACATTTGTGTCATTGATTGCTGTTGGTAGGTACTATAAATATCACTGTTATTTCATTGTGTATGGCGAAAGAAGCTATTTCTTCTGTAATATGCATTCTAATCTTTTGTAATTAGAATTATAATATGGGTTTCTATTCAGACTAAACAGTTAAGTTCCATCTTCCAATTTTTATCTATTGATTACATACATCGTATGGCATACATAATGGTGCAAATGTAGTACTAACTTCTTATTTATGATTCGGATTTATGAATATCCTAGTTAGTTTAGACTAGTTTGTTCTCTCTCTTCTTTTATATCCTTATTTTAATACTCTATTTCCGTAGCAACCTTAAAGGTCACCCTACCAACTAATGAAACAACCAATCACCTTCCGCTGTCCTATGAAAAATTGTCTTCCCAGCCAAAATACCGCAACCTGATTAGTTATTTCTTCTGCAGTTGTTAGGATGTTCTTTAAATTCACCCCTATTTCTGTCGATTTCTTCTCTTTATGTTATGACAACAAAGTGAGTGGAACAATATGAAACTGTCTTACGTTTGTAGTAGATTCTGTTCTATTTATCTCCATACATCTGCTTTTGTGAATGACTTTAAAGGCTACTCTAGCAACTGATGAAACAGATGATTACATTCCTTTATTTTATGGAATAGTAGTTTTCTCGGTGAAAATACTGGAGCCTGATTGGTCTATTCAGCAGTTGCTAAGATGGTCTTTAAAGCCACTTGCTTTTACGCTGAAAAACTGAGTTTTTTTATTATCTAGCCTTCTCACCTGTTTACTTAGTCAGAAATTCGAAAAAAGTATAAAACACTGGATAACGTACTCGGTAATCAAATGCCCTTCTATGCATTAGACAATGAGTCACACTTATTGCATGATACTAATTTTAACTGTTCAAATTTTTCCTTGGTGGAATATGACTTTCGAACGTCTGACGCATTGGTTATAAGCTGAACACCTAGACCGGTGAGTCACAGTGTTACTCGCAGTCAGCTTCGTATAGCAACAAATCATATCAAGTGAAGTTTATTCCTACTACATAGGCTAGTTTTTTTCTGGTGTAGTATGAAAAAGGCTCTGCAAACAGTTCTTAAATGAACTTTATTTTTTTAACCTCTAGAAATTATCTACATTTCATCAGAATTATTAGGTGGAGAAAGTGATTTCGGATTACAGTCATTACTGATATCGATTAACCACCAAATAAATCTTTTTTGGTTAAGAGAATGTTTAATTATCCATGTTGAAAAATCAATCGATTTACCTAATTTCTGTTTCATCAGAACATTTATCAAGTTTTGCTGATTATCTGATGGATTCCTTGATAACTCAGTGACCTAGTGGATAACGCTCTGGCGTTTAAAGCGGTTAATCAGGGGTTTAAGCCCTAGTAGGAACAGCACCACTTACTGGGTGGAGGTGAGGGACAAATACATCCAGCTGACGAGTCAGTCGCAAATAAGACGAAACCCAAATCCTGAGTTTTCATAGGAAAGTTAATTGATGTGGTTGTGAAGCTTCATCAAATGAGATGGCTGGGACATGTGTTATGCATGCTTGATCACTGTCTGCGTCGTTACAAAATTTTAGCTGAAGTAGGTACAGGATGGTAAAAGGCTCGGGATGGCCAGACTTGAACATGATACCATTTGATTGCATTACGCTGGTCCAAATCACCATCTACCTTAGGACTTTTTGTTAGCTTTAGTAACATTAAGTTTGAAAAGGGTTATAGTGATCAGAGAAAGATGTGTCACTAACTCATGGAGCCTGTGACCGTTGGTCTGATCCATGTTTGGGTGGCACTTACTGTCTGACTTCAGCTCGCACGACGTCTGAAATTGTCAGTTAAGTGTTATTGCTCGGAATTGATCACTGAGGTGTAGATTCATCCAAACCTGATCTTCTTCATCGTAATTTCACTTATTTTTGTTCCTTTTTATCTTTGTCTTCTTTTTTTCCACTACATGTGATGATATAATAGTCATTTCTTTATCTATCCTTATTTCTTAACTCCGTTTTCTGTGATATTAATGGAAGATGGTGGCTAGCAAGGGAATCAAGGACACGCGTTACGTACTATTTGGGAGTCATCAGCTGAATCTACCTGTCTATCAGTGAATGATGTTATTCCCACTAGGATTCGAACTCAGGACCAGTCACTTCAGAGCGTTACCACAAGCTACAACACCAAAGCCTTTTTTTATATGTTTAATAACACTGGTGTGTTTACATATATTTGCTGGGTTTATTAATTTTTTAGTGTATTGCATTATAGTTTACTACTCTCTAGGCTATGACTGAATCCGATACTTCAGTTTTTCGTTTATTACACTTAATTCAGTGTAATCGATTAGTGACCATATCAAGACTCAACTGAATGAATATTAAAAGATTGAATGGCTGACCGACTGATGTACGTGTGTCCACTCGCCCCCGCATATTCTATAACCGAGATGACTAATCAACCCCAATAGTCAGTTACTCTTATGCTGAAATGTAAAGTAATCGCGAAGTAACCTCTAAACAATACATTTCCAATCAAAGTGTTGAATGAAGGTTAGTAGTTTGTCACTAAATTATTACGAGTGGGATGTGGTTTTATCAACTCTAAAAGCACTAATAAATATGAATTTGATTGTTTTCTGGTTTCATTATGATGGATTCATTACCTTAATGATAAATAGGAATATTCAACTTTCTTGTATCATAAAGGGTCTTTTACTATTTTGATACTGGGTGATGATCGAAGATGAGATGAGAATTTGGACCACAGCTGGATTCGAAGCAGCCACCACCGGTTTTTCGACTCGATGATCTATCAACTGATCTACTATTTTGTTAAACACTGAAGAATAAATTTTATGATTTATCATTTCTTATAGTGCTCACATAGTTACATTACATGAACAACTAACTTTATCTTTTCATAATTCTCTCTGTTTCCACGAATAAAAAAACAACAATTTACCTATATTCAATAAAAGTTAATCAATCGTAAAGAGGGTAAATTTTCCTATCTATCCGATGGTGATGCAGCTAGTGATAATAATGATCCCTTTTTCTCAAATACAACGGATCAATTAAGTGAAGCTGGCGGTTCTGTACGTACTGGGACTAAAACGCCGATTGCATCATCAGTTTCAATGGCTTTAGAGTTCTCTGGATCAATACCAGACGTATCGGTTAGTTATATATTCTCCATTTATAAATGAGTTTATTTTATATTAACTATTCTATTATGTATCTTTACGTTGATTTGTGTTTGTGTGTATGTGTGGGTGGGTGGATGGATAGATGTAGATGTTATTCTGAATCAATTGTTTGCTTTTCAATGTTTTTTGTCAGTTATTTAATTTTGTTGTATATACGAATTTTTTCTTACTATATTCAGTATTATGAACTGAATTCCTCATTTACAGCATATTATTGATTCATATTAAGTTTATGTATGCGTAAAAATGTACTTTAATAAACGGTACCGGTCCAATTTATGCATGTAATGAACAGTTGTTCTTCTTTCTTTATTGTGTTGCATAGAATCAGCTTTAAACTAGCTTATGATCAAAATCCTATCCTTTCTTCTGCTGTAATATACTACATATACTCTCATGAGAAATAAGGTGACATGGAAACTTTCAATTTATACTTGTTTACAAGGCTTACTCTAATGTGTACAAAATAAAGTCAATTAAAGAAATTAGATCATTATTTAGTACTGTAAACCTTGAATAGTGTATATTCTGGCTTGTTGATTGATGCCCATAACTTTCAAGCAGTCAGTTCTACGTTTAAACTATACTCCACTTACTTCGACATAGGTAGCCGGATTGTTTTATAAACTTTTGAACAAAAAATGTGACTAGTATATAGATAGATGTCTGTTGGTTTATTTACTTATGACGATATTGAATAGTGTCACATGAATCGACAGAATGATGCGGAGTAATTAAAAACTGCTTCTTCTTCTGTTCATCCTACTGTGAATGATATACATGTTAACAAGTAACTCTGCTCCTCAATATGGATCTAATGAAAAACTTTATTCATTATTTATTTGATTCAAAGCAAATAAAAAGATCTGAACGGAACACCGTTATGCGTTTATTCATTCCTGTTCAACAGGATTCTTTAGTTTTCCAGTATAGAAAGTGAATTGACCGGAATATATACACAAACTCATTCTTGTTTTCAAGTTGATAAGGTGAATCACTTATCAAATCAACGAATACCTGTAAAATAAGCAGGTATACCAATTCACTGTTAACATGACTCTACTCTTAACCTTAATTTAACCCCAAAACTTAACGAATTTAACATTTTGAAATGTAGAATATCGCAAATAACGATACATTGATGCATTTTCTGCTAGTCAATATTAGTGAAATGACTATTAGTTTAGTTGTTATTTTCACACCAGTGCAAAATATTTACATAGTGTAATAAGAAGATAAAGATTATCTGAGAAATGTGATGTATTCGCGTAATACATTTCAAACAATCTGATCACGCATTTACTTGTCAAAGCATTTTATATGAAGGATGAAAGTAAGATGGGGGTAAGATAAATAAATTAAGATAATATAGTCCAGGGTGGCTAGAAAAACAACTACATTCAAATAATCTGATAAATACAAGGGACAAACAGACATCATCCTCGATAGGTAAACACATTAATTTTAGAAATAGGTGACAGGATTGACCCTAAAACAGCCTACAGACCATTGTATAGGAGCCGTCAAGACTGGATACTTAGGTTCATTGAATTCCTAGCTACACAAAAGTTCAACCCCCTTTTATGTATTCAAAAACAATTAATCTTTACTGTTATTGCTTTTATTACACCGTCGTTGGATTCCACTGCTAGCCACTGCCCATCATCACTAAATTTGTCTTTACCTTAAACTTGTCTTGGTAATTTTTATCTCATCTTTACTATTCCTATATTTCCCAAATCTCGCATTATCATTTTGACTACCTGAGATAGTCATGGTTTGGCAGACTAGTATTTATACTAAGTGATGATTAAATGTGAAATGAAAATTTGGACCGCGATCAGATTCGAACCACAGACCACTGGGTTTCCGACCCGGTGCTCTGCAGCTCAGTTACTAAAGCACGGCTATCTCAGATAGTTTTTGAATATACAAAAGGGGGTTGAACTTTTGTGTAGCTAGGAATTCAATGAACCTAAGTATCCAGTCTTGACGGCTCCTATACAATGGTCTATAGGCTGTCTTAGGGTCAATCCTGTCACCTATTTCTAAAATTAATGTGTTTACCTATCGAGGATGATGTCTGTTTGTCCCTTGTATTTATCAGATTATTTGAATGTAGTTGTTTTTCTAGACACCCTGGACTGTATTATCTTTATTTATTAATCTTACCCCCATCCTACTTTCATCCTTCATATAAAATGCTTTGACAAGTAAATGCGTGATCAGATTGTTTGAAATGTATTACGCGAATACATCACATTTCTCAGATAATCTCTATCTTCTTATTGCATTATGCGAAACATTCAATTGCGTATGTGTTCACATTCGCAGTTTTCAGAGTAAAGAGAAAACATAACTTAGAAAGTGAAGGTTAAGCATAAATAAACACTACTGATTGATACAATTATAAAGGGTCAATAAAAGTAGAGCATTCACAACACTTATCCAAGCAAGTTAATTGACCAATAGGGATTTATCATTAATAAGAGATTTCCAAAGATAAATAAAACAATCCAAAGATGCCGCAACCGTTAGTTGTTGAAAATGGGCTCTAGCTATGCTTTTTGGCCACTGAAATTTCAGCCATTTGACCACTAAACCTAAATTTCTCTTTCTCGCTATATATATCAGTAATGATTGAAGTGAAGTGAAAATTTAGCCGCAGCAGGATTCGAACTAGTAGCCTACCGGTTATCGATCGGGTGCTCTCTCCATTAAGCTACGAAACGGATCTGCAGCCCTATAAGATTAATACTCTTCATTTTCCTATCAAAGACCATTCTAACATTGAAGATCAGTGATTGGCTAAACTGCTCTTCAAAACTCAAGTATGCTCTAGACTTTTTTCTCAGAATGGACGTCAGTGCATTTGGTGATACTCTGTTGTGATACTACGGTTCGTAAAGTTCAAGTGTATGTTTGCTGAATTTCTAGTGGACCATCTGCACAGCTTATTGCTTATCGATGCAGTTAATTATCTGTAGATACTTCCAGTCCTTTTTCGGGTCATATAGATGTTTAGAGATCTGTTTGCCAAACTTTTCCGCTCTAATTTTGGTAATTTCTGGCACCTTTTCCCAACAGAAACCTATTCGTAACAAGCAGCTATTGATATAACTTAATTCATCACATATAGTTAATGAACGTGCAGTGATGACGGGAGCAGTGTAATTATATTGTAAAGGATGATTTTCGGCCTGCGGTCACATGTTCTAAATCCAGGATGAAGTGTAATTATCTTATCTATCCATTTGGCTTATTGTAAACATTTTCTCTAATTGGTAGCTTGGTTTGAACTCGTTGAGAAAACTTGTCATTTGAGTAACCCAAGCTTTCATGCAATTAACATGGCTGACAACTACAATACAGCAAGTTGTATTTGATACAATTCTTTCCCTTTACAAATTAAAGTAGAGCAAGAACAACAGCTTTAGTAGAAGAGAATGGATTCATTTTATTTCATGGTTTCTCATCACCCGCAGAAACTCATCAGTAAACACAAGAATGCATTGACTTAAACCGTAAGGTGTGACGTAGGTCGAGAAAAGCTTGTTTTTATAAATCTTGATTTCACAGGTGATAATGTTTCCGGTGCAATCAACTACAGGGTAAATGCTGCCTCAAAAACGACTTATCTAGCCGCTAGATTAATCACACTTTACCGAAGAAATTGCTCACTGAGATAATTAAAGGTCGAAAAGTCCTCTCTCTTCATGTTAGCTTCAATCGCACCTATCATTTCGCACGTACATGCTTGAACACATCGGACAAACAAAATGAAGGGTTTGTGACCACATGTCTGAGTATATTCCAAGAAATTTACTACTAAGAGGTGGAAAGGTTTCTAACAACGCTATTACGCGTCAACCTGTTGATAGTGGACATGAAGTCTATATTCAGAAATCGTTCAAAATAATTAATAAACAGATGAGTTCAAATTTGCTGTCTTTCGCTGAAGCGTTAGCCATCAAACGATTAAAACTAAACTTATGTGTTCAGAAAGAAACAGTTATCAGTCTGTGTCTACCATGGTGAAGATTACTATTTCATTGACAAATATCATATATCATTATCGATTCATACACCATGGTTTCTGTTATTTTACATTTCACACTCGACCTAATTATCTAAATGCTACTCAAATTAAGTTTTAGTTAACATAAATCTTATGGCCTTTCACACATTTTGTGTAACCCCTCTTAGTATGTTGAATACACTTGTCTCCCCCATCTTATCCAGCTTCCATTCTGCAATATTCGTCTAATCCTTCTATGCATTGGAGAACTTAGCTCTGCATATTTACTCACTCACTTCGTGTGTTTTCAATTACTTCATATCGATATTATCTGTGATTCAAGCTACCAATTATCTATCAAACTGACTCGAGTATGTAAAAGTTTTGTATAAATTGATATTAAAATTGTTTTAGGTAGTAGGCGGCTGATGAGAAACCACGAAATAAGACAGATCTATGCTATTCTGTTATTGTTCTTGCTCTATTTAAAGTCTGTATTTGACTAATCAGTTGAGTTTTTACATAAGATTAAATTTATCTTTCGAGTGCTTACCGTATGTACAGTGTTTTTGTTGTTGTTGATTATAACAGCAATAGGTTTGTGGCATTCTTAAAAAAATATTTTCTGTCTCTGCGATATGATGATAATGAGTCAATTTAATTTTACAGGTGTACTATTCATATATTTGTTAGTCTAGTTCATTTATTTTCAATGTTAATTAATTTCATCTAATTAGAAAAATATTATTTACTTAAACTTTTTTACATGTTATATGTGTATGATTAAAGTATTGTACTTTCATCAATTGGACTTTATCCACTGCTTGTCTTTTCCTCCATATTTATTGTTTAGAAGCATATGCCTGATATAACACATTCTGTTACACCTGAGAGTATTACCGATCAACATATGAATGCAACACGTGCAGTAAATTCTTCTATGCATTTTAATGTATCTACTGAACGTGAAACTAAACCAGAGAATTTATTATATCATGAACAAGATACTACTACCGATGGAAGAGTAATCAGTGAATCTCGTGTTAATGAATTATGTCAAGAGATAATGTTGGATGGAGAAACAACTCAAACTTTTGAATCAAATCTAAGATCTGGTTCTAGAAATCATATCCCACAAATACATTTTGAATCTCAAGATTTTTCAGCGCATAATCGTAGACCATATTTAATAGATCCCAATATGAAGTCTACTGTTTCAGTAGATCATATAGGTTCATTTCGACCAGAAAATGTTCACACCATTAGGACTGACGTTCAAAATTGTTTCAATAATCAACTGTTATCAGCTCCAACAATTAGTTCCGACAATTACAATAATCGCACAGTAAATAATGCACACCTAAGTCCTGGATCTTTTTCAGAACCATCAAGTTATGCAGTTCAGCGATCGTCAGCTAACACAACGAAACGTATTAAAAAACCTATATTTGAACCATATGATGAATATTTTTACTCAAAAACCTCCTCTCCAAATCCAAATATAGAGTCAAGATCACGTTCACCTGGAATCTCTATAAAACAGAATGCTCTTTCTCCTCCTACTAGCTACTGTGATTCACGTCGTTTAACACATTTATTAAGAGGCAATTTACCACCTGACAAGCATTTAGATGTTACATCATGGGAAGGTAATCAAACAGCCGTTATTACAGATGTTAACAGACCTATTCAAACACAAGTATATAATAATTCCTTTAATTTATCTTCAGCATCACCTAGTCGACAGACATTATCCAACTTACATGATCGTAATATTTCCACTTTTTCAGACTCTAAACTTAAAAATGATAATCTATATGCTAACAGTATAAATGATGCAATAAGTTTATCTCATAATTTACAAACAACATCCGGTAATTTATCCCTACAGAAGAGAATTAATCATTTCCCTGCTGTTTATGAGTCTATGTCATCACTCAATCCTTGTAAGTTACAACAACAGCAACAACACCCTTCATCTATTCTTGATGATGAAATGTGCATTTCGAATCTAAGTCCATTTCATTTTATGTCCAATACATTGAATGATGTGATCAATAATAATAATAATAATCAGCCACCAAATTCGAATAGTACTCAAAACTTGGACTCTGATGTAAATCGACTTTCGAAATTTATTGTTACTACTACTACTAATAATAATAGTGATAATGCCAATAATAATGATAACACTACTATCATAGTAACAACTGGTAATGGTGCTTCAATAAATCAGAAATCATTTAAACCAGATCATTTTATAGAATCTGTACCTAGTCCAGAGCTACTATTATTTCTTTCATCCAATAATAATAATATTAACAGTAATAGTAATAATCCAAAAACTAATCAAGCAACTGCGCCTATGACAACAACAGATTCAGATTTATCCCATTGTACTTCTTCTTCTTCTTCTTCTTCTTCATCATCATATGATTTACAATCGTATTCTTCTACAAAGATGTGCGTACGCACAAACAAATCAAAAATGCATTTCTCAGGTAAACAAAAGTTAATTATTGTGAAGTAAATGACTGTCTGATTATTTATTATTATTATCATTATTATTATTACCGATATCGTTGGGATTTCTTAAGTGGCATAATTGAGTTATTCTCATCGCTACAATTTGGACTGTCAGACGTTTGCCTTTCAAGTTGAGTATCATTATGAAGACCAGTTCATTAAATGGTTGAGACGCATAAGATTAATCGATCTAAGAAAAATTGTTAATGAATTTTGTACCGCCACTATCACCACACTAGAATTGATGAGTGTTTGGTTGTGTGTATATCAACACGTTTATTCCTATCCTTCTACATTTGTCATATGTATGCGTATGTGATATGGGGGGGGGGGGGGGGATTAGGCGCATTTTGTATCATAGAACGTAGGAAAAGATAAGACATGGTTGCAGCGAAGAAAATGTTTTCTTTTCGACGAAGTCATTTACTAACTTGTACATTAGTGAATATATTTTACAGTGGATAGAAGAACGTTCCAGAATTATTCCTGGTTAGGGTGCCAAATATATTGAATAACTAAAGGAAACGATTTTCAAAATCCTTAAATAGAACATACTTCGCCGTCAACCTTCGAATTATTTTCTATCGCAAGAAACTTTCTAGTTAATGTGTGAAAGACAAACCGATACATTCGACCACATCAATGTGTGTATACTAGTTTACTTGCTCTTGTGGAGCTGAGTACATCGGTCGTACCATGTGTCCACTTGTAAAACGTGGTCGCGAACACTACCCAACCTGGCTGGCAAAGGGAGAACGGAAATATCTTCAGTTCGATAACAGAACACCTCTTGAACTCATGCCACTTAGCTCCTTTTGAGAGCTCATTCAAAATCCTCTACACGGTTCGATCAAACCACTCGAAGGGAGTAAGATCAAGACATTTGTCTATGGCTGAAGCACTAGCTATCCAGAAGTCCAAACCAGCGTCATGCTTTCAAAAAAGGTACGTCCAACCTTTATCTTTGCCATGACCATCATAAAGCTTTGACTGGTCATAGATTCATCCTGTATTAGGTAACTATACATGTATTTTTATAATCCCTTGTTTATTTTCCTACTCTGTCATAGGTTTGTGCGGTATTACATAATTACATTTAATTTCGTAATCCGTTGTCTGTTTTCCCACTCTAAACCCAAATGTGTATTAATTAACTTCATTTAGTTATTCAATATATTTAGCCCTCTAACCGAAAATAATTCTGGAACGTTCTTCTATCCACTGTAAAATATATTCACTAATGTACAAGTTAGTAAATGACTTCGTCAAAAGGAAAATTTTTTCTTTACTGCAACCACGTCTTATCTTTTCCTATAATCAAATGAGTACATCCCACTGTTTAATTCATAGAACACTTTCAAATATAACATAAGTTAGGATAGATTTCATTCTGTGTTAGGATGTATGATACTGAAGGTTTTGTTAGTCGACCTATCCAACCCAAGCCATAGTGTATCACAAAATGCGTTAGATTCAAGCATCCATGCAATATTTCTAATACAACTGATGACTTCTTCAATTCAACTGGATTCACAATCATATCTTAAGTGATGATATATATATATATATATATATATATATATATATATATATATATCTGGAGAGATGTTATTCAGTAACTGTTATTTCGTACACGGAAAGTATATTTAATCTCGTTTCACTTTTAACTAACTCACTTTCCAGTTTTTATAATCGCTGCTTTCAAACATGGCATATATTCGCATCATTGAAGTGTAAAATTCTTTTACAGGATTTTCAGAAGCCTGTTCCTGCACTCCCATTTGGCAGTGAATCATTATAAGTAATCGAAAAGGTCGTCTGTCTTTGTTGCTGTGTGAGGCGTAGCTAGTATATCGAAAACCGGAACGGCATGTCTCAATCTGGGTCACTTTTGGAACTGTCTCAACGTTAACTTGGTTATAAAAGGTTGGGTGTGCAACACGCCTGAGTGGGCAGTACGCCACTGCTCTACACCCGTGAAACTTAATCTCCAGTGAACGATGTTTGATAAATCTACACTTTTGACAACTATTTTATCTAAGATTCCTATTATATTTTAAAAATGTTATGTAAATAATTTTGATGTTCTGTGGCACGATTTTGAGCATAGTTGAGACCCTCATTAATTGAGTGAAGTTATCTCGAAACACTGGCTTCATCAGTTTCAATATGTACAGCTGATGTCCGTTAGCAGCTCTCATATCGTTCAGCGCTTGTTAGTCTTAAGGTTGGATGAAAAAGGTGTAAAACTAACATAAGGTTGAGGATATTTTTTGCCTTAGCCTTAATGCATTGAATCTCCCTCAAAAGGGAATCAGGGAGATCATGGGACTCAGCAACTTGATATGTTATCAGGTGCGCTATTGAAAGTTAAAACCATTCATAGTCATGCTGTAGCTTTCTTTTTTGAATCCTTCTTTGAAGCGTAAAATGCTAGCAGTGACTGTTCCTTTGAATGTATCTTTGAGATCGCTTCGATAATCATTGATAAATTTTGCTTTTATTTTTATTTCTTTCTCTTTGTATTACTCTAATGTCTTATAAACACTTTATACTATTTTTTATGGTGGGGTTCATGATGCTTATGCTGTATCAAGTTCATGTTTTAGATGAATAATATAGTTCATTCAATAACCTCTTGATACTTATGTGAATGCACATCGAAGATTGTTAAGATAAGAGCTTATTACGGATTGTGGTTGTGTAATAGCCTTAATTAAAATGATATTCGCTTTAATATTCTAGTGTATTATGTACAAATTATGAAACATTATTTCATCAAACAAAACATTAGAAAATTAAAAGTCTTCACATTCTTTGACATTTATCAAACTGGAATTAATCATTTGATCATAAGTTCTTATCATATTTGAATTAAGTACTTAACAGTTAGATAGTTCCATTTACATTCACCATACATGGGATATAGCTGTATGAACGAGTGTTTATGTAAGTTACTGAATTGTTGAAATAGTCATAACTGAATAATTTTGTCCACTCCTTGAACCTTATCGTAGAATTTTAGTTGTTTTACTGCTTCAATCGATCATAGTATATTCGTTTGTCATAATGTTTTTGACAACGGTTTACTTATTAGTAGTATTTTTATTGACAAATATGTATATTACTTTTGTTGATCACTGGCTTAAAACCTCACCTCATTGATGACCAAATTTTGGGTAGCTAAGTATGACGGTATAATACACCCTCCTACGTCATGCTTCATTCGTTACTCTAGTTCATAATCCTGCTCTTATTTTTGAAGTTATATGCATACCTGAATCTAAGAGATATGAAGAACTATCATTTAGTTATTCATCATGTTTTTAAAAATTTTGCTCCATTCACTTCTGCTATGCTTTTTAAAGTTTGTGAGTTTCTTGTTGGTATTCATTATTGTCTGACATCAGCTAGAGAAACATCTGAAACTTTAAGAGAAATATGGACCATTAGATTCAGAGGCACTGGCTTAGTGGTAACGTGCTGGCCGGGGAACCTGAAGCTCCTGGGTTTGGTCCCTTGATGGGAAGGGGTTATGGATGCGCATTGCTGAGGAGTCCCATACTCAAATGAAACAGCTATCCAGTACTCCTAGGTTTTTAATATTTCTTTGATTGATGTCAGTCCATGATAAACACCAACTTGAAATCAATAAATTCCCACAAATCTCTAAATTAAATTATCAGTTTCCTCTCTAGTCTCTTAATGTGTTGAGTATTCCAACCATATATTATAGGATAGGTCGAAAGATATGCCATTTTTGACTGTATTTTGTTGTTATAACCTTAATATACACTATCTCTCCGTCTACATATATGTTCCTCACTAAATTTTTAGTTATCTTTATACCAAGTAATTAATTCAATATGTAATACAACTCAAAGTTGAGCCATTAGGTCAGATACATCAGTAAATCTTCATCTTGTCATAGTCTACTTATCAGTTATTTATTTCTTAATTTCAATTTTTGATTAATTTTACTGCCTTCTAATAATTTCCTTTTGAGTTGTTGAAACGTGTAACGATTTCTGCAAACAAACGTTTGTACTAGTGTCTACATACTGCCTATCGGTTTCATGTGTACTTTAGTACTCACCGTATATTACTGTAGTATCCCTTATTAACAATAAAGTGACTAGTTTCACTCATAGATTTATATACGAATGGTCTAAAAATCTAATTTTAACTTAAAAATAAGAATTATACTTCATCCATGTGAATTAGTATTATCACTAACTTTAACACGATAAAAATCACTCATTCCTTAATTTGTGGATTTGGTTATTTGTCTTTACATAATCTTCATTTTGGTGTTGAATTCTGCATATAGTGGGATTTTATCGAGACATTTCTTTATTCTGTTGAATAGTTTGAAAGCAGATATACATTCACCACTGTATAACAATGCAAGCTTCCTCAGTTCTATTTCTGTAGTTCGTACTCAGGAGTGCGGAAACGTTTATATAGAAGTTTTTCCATGTTCTTGATCACCCTTGTCCTTGTAAGTGTCGTATACAAGTAGTTGTTTGACTGTAGCAAAAAAGTTATCTTTGTAACATATCAGTACAAAGTCAAGCTTGTTTTATTTCAGTTCATTTAAGTAGACAATATGGTTTTGATTCATATCAACTGTGATCAACATTTAACCGAAGAGTATTGCAGATATTGGGGGTTGAGTAAAAGGTTGACATTAGATGTCGCTTATATTTGTGTAAGTAACAACGTGTTTGAAATAAAATAATTCCAGTGTTTCATATAGGAGTTGTCTGGTCTGAGCTTCTTCAAAGGAATTTTTAAGGGGAGAAGCTATCGATAATTTTTTTCGATTAAATACTCATCTTTATCCATCCCATTTCTTCTTAATATAATTTCGTTTAAATTTTCTACAGTGAAGTTTTTACCATCAGAAAAATAGTATGGTTATATATTTTTAGAAGTGAATTATGTTTCAAAATCTGATTTTCCTATAACATTGGTTATTCATTAGGCAGCGTTTATATCGAA